AATAATTGATATTCGAATATTCGATGGCAGTATTCGAATATATTCGATTATTCGATAAAATAAACACATCTTGCATTATAATATGTATATACATGTATCTTCACTCTTATGTCAAGCAATATATATAAGTTTTGAGTCATTATTTTGGAATAAAATTTCATGTAGAGTTTTTTAAATGCACTTTAATTATATTCTTAAAATATTTTACAGCATATATGAAGAGTTTATATTCAAAATGTAATAAACAAAATTTCCCTGAAAATTCAAAAGATTTTTTTAATAAGTTCAAGATTAATTAATCATCTTACCAAAGTGTATACTGATAACCCTACAGATTTATACCACGCAGAACAATTATCTTATGGAGAAACATTAAAAGCAATTACTTTTAGCTAATTAATTTTATGATAATGATTTTAAATGATGTATACATAAACAAAAATGTTTCCTTTCAACAATACAAACTAAAGTACTGGACACTGTTATACCTCTAATTAAATGCTCAAATGAAGAATTTATATTATTAATAGACACACTCTTCACAACTTTAAGGTAATCCAAGAGGAGTGTCTTTTAATTTTGTTTGAAATAAAATCTTATTAGTGGTCAACGATGTGAATTTGATTCAATTTCTGATAAAACTTCAGTTTTTGCCAGATTTTTTTTCTTTTTTATGCTTGTATACTTAAAATCCGAATATTCGAATCATGAATTTATATTCGAATATCAACTCATCGAATGAATATTCGAATATTCGAATATTCGTTGACATCCCTAGTTTGAAATCTTCCCTAATATGATCTGGTCAAGGTCCATGTAGTAAATTTCACTATTTAAAGATTTTCTAATCTAAATGATGTCTAACCAGGCCTATTTTCCTGAAAGTATTGGTGTCTGGTAGATTAGATAATTTTACTGTACTTGTACTTAAAAGTTTAAAGATTTTTAAAATAGGGATGGTTTCTTGTCTTAGATGCTGCATGTCTTCCAATCTGTCTCTTGCACTGTCTAATTTTGTTTCTAATTATTATTGTTATATTGTTAATATTTTCTTACATTAAATTTCGGGTAACAAAGAATTCAAATACCTTATTTATGCTAGTAAATGTATCAGCAAAAAAGTATTTATTTTCTTGCATTTTATATTTTTTTTCAGTAAAATTCCATGTGACGTCACACCGAAATTGTGAAAAAACCTCATCTGCTAAACTAGGAGATGCTATTGTGGAATCTATGAATGAAATGAGGGAAATGTTGTCATAGAAACATTGCAGGATTCCAATTGGCTGAGGAATTCACGCTTGACTGACCAGGAGAAATTCAATGTTCAACTGACCAAAAAGAATTCCACGCTTCACTGACCAGGGTGCACATGTTCAATGCAATTTCACACTTGTGTCATGTCCTTGAAATTTTTATCTTGTTTTGTGATATTAGAGGTCATCGTTACAAGAGAGTTTCTCCATTATTTATTAGTCTTTGCTTCATAGTGAATATTTTTGTATCTTACTGCTCTAAGCTGAATTACTTTTTCTTCAAACTGAAGTAAATCCTCTGTCATGTATGTGTCTTGTGCCTTTGCTTGTTTTCTGTTGTTGATGTTCTTGTATTGTATGTTAAAAACCTTATGTAGTTCTTTCCTTTCACAGTGAATTAAAATATTTGACAATTTTATTCTTTTATATAAGAGAGTGATATTGTTTCATTGTGTTTAGCTGAGGAGAATTTAGAACTATCTGTGTGTAGTACAAACAATATGATGAAATATATATATTTTTTTAAATTTTTTTTTTTGTAAAAATGCATAATTTTATCTATATCCTTTTTATAACAAAGGATTTAAAACTTTCTTTTTACCTGCTATCATTATTTAGTTGGTTCTTTTTTATTTGTTTTTTCTCTGAAATATGAATATTTTACTCAAGAGGTATTCTGTAAAATCAATTGTTTCTGTGATGATCAAATTTGATCAAATCAATGGATGGAGGGGAAAATTGGTCTGTTGGGACTAACTTTTATCATCAGTAGAAAAAACTTGATATTTAACTAAATGTACATGTGGCATTAATCCTATTTTTTTTATTCCAATCTTGGTTTACATTTTATTTTTGAAATGAGTCACTTGAAAAATTTTTGCACATAGAATGATTTTTATTGAAGTCTAATGAATTTTGTAAAATTTCCTCTGTCGGCCATTTTGATTAGGAAACTGATATAAGTCTGATATTTATTTCTAATTTAATTGACTTCTGCAGTAAATGATGTTCACTTTTAATCACTTCTGATATTGATAGTAATCAAAGAGGTTGTTATTTTAACTCTAAGTCTCGCTCATTTTTTTTTTCAAATGCATAGTGTTCAGCATATACATGTATAATCTTTTGAGTTCATGTTGCAAAATTCTTCTTGTGGTGCTGGAAATTTTAAAATATACATAATTATATTTAATTAAGCAAATTAAAATGTAAATATTGTAAAGTATGAATTGAGTTGCAAATTCTTCAAACTTGCTGTAGTGACTTTCATCTTTTGATACATTTCTTCTTACCGGTGTTTTTATTTATTTTCTCGATGTATACTCTCAACAATACAGACAAATTTGTCAGTTCAGAATTTTAGCGGTGTGTCCAGACCTTTCTGGTTCGAGTTGACTTTTGTTATGAAGTAGTTCTGAATGTATAATGCTGTTTGTTTTGTTTGACTAGAACTTTTTATTTCAGAATAAATGTTCAAAATGAATCTGTGTGTTTCTATACATGTCATCATTTTTAGCTCACCTGAGCCGAAGGCTCAAGTGAGCTTTTCTGATCACATTTTGTCCGTCGTCCGTCCGTTCGTCTAGCTGTCCGTCTGTCCGTATGTAAACTTTTCACATTTTCGACTTCTTCTCAAGAACCACTGGGCCAATTTTGACCAAACTTGGTACAAAGCATACTTGGGTGAAGGGGAATTTAAATTGTTAAAATGAAGGGACATATCCCCTCGCAATGGGAGATAATCAAGAAAGGACAAAAATAGGGTGGGGTCATTAAAAAATCTTCTTCTCAAGAACCACTGGGCCAGAAAAGCTGAAACTTGTGTGAAAGCATCCTAGGGTAGTGTAGATATTAAATTGTTAAAATCATGAACCCGGGGGGAAGGGCGGGGCCACAATGGGGAATCAAAGTTTTACATAAAAATATATAGGAAAAATCTTTGAAAATCTTCTTCTCAAGAACTACTGGGCCAGAAAAGCTGAAACTTACAGTATTTGAAAGCATCCTAGGGTAGTGTAGATATTAAATTGTTAAAATCATGACCCCCGGGGGAAGGGCGGGGCCGCAATGGGGAATCAAAGTTTTACATAGAAATATATAGGAAAAATCTTTGAAAATCTTATTCTCAAGAACTACTGGGCCAGAAAAACTGACAATTGTATTAAAGCATCCTAGGGTAGTGTAGATTCTAAATTGTTCAAATCGTGACCGCCGGGGGAAGGGCGTGGTCACAATGGGGAATCAAAGTTTTACATAGAAATATATAGGAAAAATCTTTGAAAATCTTTTTCTCAAGAACCACTGGGCCAGAAAAGCTGAAACTTATTTGCACATGGAAGGATCCTGGGGTAGTTGATTTCAAAATGTCTTAATTATGATCAGTGGGGTAGGGTGGGGATACATAATGTATTACAAGGGGGAAATCTGGTAAAGAACAGAATGGTCAAAGCTTCTCAGGTGAGCGATGTGGCCCATGGGCCTCTTGTTTAATAAGATAAGTGTGTAAATTTTATCTAAATAGAGAGAGGTGGGAATTTCCTTAAACTGAATCTTTCAGCATTGGATAATGAAGCACCCTATGTAAAGTAATATTTGTGAAGTATAAAAAGTAAATATTTCCATTTCTAATTTTTTTCTCTGTGATAACTCTTTGAAAGTTGTCGAAGTTTACTTCTTGATAATTCTGCCGGAATGTAAATTAGGCAGGTCGATAGGTCAGGAGCTACGGAGGCCTAATACGCATGCAAATCTCGTGCGCATCTGTCTCTGTGTCTGACGCTAAGGAGGCCAAATATGCATGTAAATCTCGTGCGGCTGCCTTTGTGTTTGACGTCAGTGGGCGAGGACTATTGAAATTAGCATGGAAGTCCTCGTGTGATTTAAGTCTATGTCTACATTTTTAAAGTCTAAATCTACAATTTTATTTCACAATAAAATAGAAATATAAGGAATCACTGTCTAGTTTTGAGAGTATGCCAGGGACATCAACAATAGTGGGAAACGTGGGATAATTTTAGCATAACGGGCTATGCAAATTATCCTATGTTTCCCACTATTGTTGATGCCCTGGCATACTCTCAAAACAAGACAGTGATTCCTTAAATACGCGCCAAATACTTTTTTACCCAGTATTATATTTACCACTTCTTCTTTTTTCCCACTCACGAGCAAAGGATTTTATTTTTCACAAACACAAATGGCTTCTAATCATTGAAAATATCAAGACTTCAAACAAAATATTTTTAATTGGCCATATATGACCCCAGACGCATCCAGTTGGAATAGCCCATATATGACCCTTCTGGCAGTAAGAGGGTTTAAGAGTAAGTTCGCCCATAGACAACAAAGGTCAAGGGAAATATACATGTAAATGGGAGCAGGAAATGCTGCTCATGGCTGCTGCGACCTTTTGGCAGGGGATGCTTAATTATTACTCCTATCCACCTGGTTCCCACTTTTAGAATGTCCAGGGGTCTATGTTTCACGCAAATGTTCACAGATTTGTGTTTGACTTGTGGTTATGTCAATGACAAAATCTCTAGTTGGTAGAGGTGCAAAATACTGTTATTTGGTTTCATCGATGAAAGTGAATAGGAACAGATTTTCATCACTTGAATGAAAGAGAGTGTATGAAAAAAAAACTTTATTTAAAAAAAACATACACATAGCAAAAACATTATAAACGTTACATGTATTTCATTGTTAATTCTAGAAAGATGTAGACTTTCTTCATCAGTTCCGTTCTCACTTTACTTTGGGCTTGCTGAAGGAACTTGAAAGCGAGGTTTCCCTAAAATCCGAAACTTTGTAGACAATGGACAATCCCATAAATGTCAGAGGTCTTTTTGGCGGCAGTGTGATCACGTATGCCACAATATACGGGCTCTCAGCTTTATCATTTCTCAGATGCGGTTCTGCTCTTAGAATCATGTGCTTGTTTGCACGTGAGAATGCTGTACACGTGGCTTCAAGAAGAACATTAACCGTGGCCGTCGTCTGCCGGTTTTCCACTTCGTCAGCACAGTGACGTGTACATTGATCGATGACGTAGTTCCATACCGTCTTCCCCAAGAAGTCGCACTTTTCTTCAATGGCAGTCAAAAGCTGACGATGATAAACATGGCGCTTAAGTGTGCACTGGTCCATTTCTGCTCTGGCCACTATGTAAATGAGGGCTTCACTATGGGTTTCAATGGCGTATCGCAAAATACTTTTTCCCGCCGAATCACAGCTATCCATCTGCACACCGTGTCGTATAAGCGTATTCAGCATGTTAACGTCTCGATTTTGTACGGCATAAAACACAGGTGACCGTCCTAGGTCATCCTGACTATTTACCCCGGCTCGGTTTGTCATAAGTTCGAGAGCTATGCCATTGAATCCGTTTCCTGCGGCAATATGTAGCGGGGTCTGGCGGCGCCGGTTTGCGGCATTCACGTTGGCCCCCTTCGATATTAGGATGTTTGTCATAATTTCAAGTCCCTTTTCTACGGCAAGGAATAATGGAGTTTGCAAGTCTCGGTCCATACTGTCGATGGAAGCGCCCTTCATTAGTAGTAGTTCTACAATGGATATAAAACCTTTCTCTGCGGCATAATGCAAAGGCTTCCGTTGCTGTCCGTCACTTTGATTGACAGGTGCCCCGAATTCAACCAACAGCTCCACAATATCCGGGAAATTCTTCTCCACTGCATAGTGAAGAGGTGCTTTCATGTCTTTATCAAGAATATAAACTGACGCACGGTGCTTTAAAAGGACACTCACCAGGTATTTCTTTCCACTTAAGGTGGCGAGCTTCAGTGCCGTTTCTTTGTCTTGATCTTTCTGGTTCACATAAGCCCCGTGTTCGATTAATTCTTTGGCCACCGCGGTGAAGCCGTATTCCACCGCGTAAATGAGAGGCGACTTCCCAGATTCGTCCACCGCATTTACCATGGCGCCGTCTTTTATCAGCTGCTGCACTGTTAGGATCTGTCCACGCCTGGCGGCATGATGAAGTCCCGTCTTGCCCTCAATGTCGGCAAAATTCACGTCCTCCCCGTGTCTGAATATTTCATCTGTTAGTGTGGTTTCCGGAATTGTGGAGATACTACTTAAGATTGATCTTTCTTCTTCCAGTTTTACTGAGGGAAGAATGTAAGAAGTTTCGCTGTCCAAGTCTCCGTTGTGTAGCGATCTTTTGGTGAATGATGGGACTTCTACTTCATCGTAAGATGGAGCTGTCTTAGGAACTAAAAACTTGGATTTCATAAACGTAGGTTTTAGATATGGCGAAGAAACACCGAGAGGTTTTTCAAATTTAGGTATCTCAAAGTTAGTGAAATATTTCTCCTCCATTTTCTCACCATCTGTATAAATTTCTCCTTAAAAAATAAACAAATGGTTAACAAATTAATGCAAAGATAGAAAAAGAATTTGAAGATATCAATTTATATAACTGGCTTGCGTACTGGGTTTCGAAAAGCACCATTTCCCGGGAAAGGAATTCTCCTGATCTATTTTTCCTTCCATCACCCTTCCAACGTTCTCGTGCGTCCTAGCGCAGTTGTCATTGGTTTCCTGTGCTTCAAGTAATGACTGGTAACAACGCTTGACCTCCAACTCAAGGTCAAGGTCGCTGATTTTCCCCCACTTCCAAGGCATTTCAACAGTTTCCAATCAACTAATAAAGAAAATAACAACCTTCAGTATTATAAATGTCCTGGCGAATGAAAATCGTCACTAATTCAGGTCTTACTAAAGATGCCCAAGCGGATAAAAGGTATCGATCAGCTGGTTAATACATTAAAACTAAATCAACACGATGGCATTTTGTAAAAATATAGTATCATTGTTTTAAAGCATCTAATAAACACCTAAATTCATGAAATATTCACCGAAATTGCATGTAATGTTGCACTAAATCAATAGTCTCTGTACAGTTTGACACACTTACCGGTTAAATTTCGCTGATTCAGAACCAGGGATGATACACCGATCGTATACTTGACTGTACTGTCCGGTTTTTTGGTATATACTTCAATCTTTTCTGGCCCCAAACATGAAATTTGATCTAGGCCAGGGGAACTTGGGGTATTTAAATTGCATTATATATAGATTCGTACTATTTTCCCGTTTTGAAAAGCTGTTGTGATACATTTGTCAATGATAAAACTTCTGAAGTTGCCTTCTTTGAGGCAAACACAGAGTCTGATTAGCAATTCCTTTAGAAACTGAATAAACAAAGAAAGGATGTTTAACTTCATAGGGCCTCTTTAAAAATGTACAATCGTGCTTTAGTGATACACATAATCACTGCAGAACAAGAGACCAAACGAACCGAAACCTGAAATATTGAAAAATTGTCAAAATTCTGTCAATAAAAGCCCTATTGAGCGACATTAATTCCGGTATTATATAGGGTATCATCAACATCTCAATCATTACAGGTAGATTTAATATCTATCAAATAATGATTTGACAAACTTTAAATGACAATCAAGACTCTGAGGAACGTTGGAATGCTTATCGAAGTTTAATGCAGCGCACTAAACACAGGAAATTAATGTATTGCTTATCTATGGGGAGTTTTACAAACTACACGAAATATTAAGGAAAATAAAACTGGAGAACAATTGCTTGTGAAGAGATTGCAGTATTAATAAAGACTGAGGTTTCATGGTTAAAGAAATGAAATAACTTTTTAATAATTTTTGAAAGAAAGCTAGGAAAAAGGAAGGATTGTAAATAATTAAATATGCATTGTCCCTGGGATAAAAGCTCAATAATTTCCATACTTTCTTAAATTCTTATCGTTTCGCCTAATCAGTGTGAACATGTGTATTTACAAACGGGAAAGTTAAAGGGAACGGGGATTTAAAAACCTGTCGGCCATTGAGAAAATTATTGATCAAATTCTTATTGAGCAATAATGCATATTTGGCGATTCAGGTCAAAACAAAGGTCTTTTTAAGGGACACCAGCGCTGTGAGTTATGTCTGGAACTCAGAAACGACACTGGTTCCCGCAAGATGGAGCGCCGGAGATTCCCGCCAAAATTCCGTGTATGGAGCAAAACGGTTAGTTTGACAACAAAAGTTTTTCATTGATTTATCATAGCAGGTTATAAAAACGGAATGAGATCAATATTTCTTTTACAGGTTCATTCCTATTTCATTAAACGCTCTATTTGAAACTTTCTAAAAACAAGCAAGGAACATTTAAATATAATGGTAAACTATTATATAGCAGGGATTTTGTTCGTAGATAAAATCTTAAACCAAATAAGGATTTATGTTGTCAGTTTAATGTGTCAAAGGCTAATAGTCCTGAAACTTTTTAAGTGCCGATTTAATTTGGTTTTTGATATTATGACTGACGTTTCAATTTTAAAGACAGATTTTCAATGGCCAAAACGTCTAAGATGTTGAAGCCAATAGATTCTTTAAATTCACATATTTTTAATTGATTTTCATGTATATACCGTTGATCAATTACCGGTATTTGTTTTCTTAATCATGTTTTTATAAAATGTAATTTCAGAGGTGAATGAAACCGTATTGATAGACACCAACAACGCCACAAGTGACGTAATACAATACGTCATGACGGAAACGACTGATCAATACAGGAAAGGAATGCCATATAAACTTCTCTTCTACCCGGGTAAAAGTGCTGCCATCATCCAAATCAACTTACCTGGCAATCAGACTGTGAAAGACATGGTGCTAACATTGAACCATTGTCGGACAAATTGTGACGGGGTGATCGACATATTTATGAACGATTCGGTGCTTGTGATGGGTTATTCAGAAGCGAGGTGGGATAATTTTGGTGAAGATACTTTCAATGTTCCAGTTAATCTGTTGAAGCAGGGCGCAAACGAATTGATCATCAGACTGAATAAAACTAGTAGAGGAGTATATTGGCTGTCTGATCTTAAAATAGATACGTTGACTACACGATAGTTTGAAATAGGACACAGTGCAAGAATACTGAGAAATCGTGTAAGATGGCCCGACTCTTGTGAAACTTTATGGAATGTATTTTTGTACTTTTTTGTTTCGAACAGTGTTATTTTCCACACGCAATTCTGAGACACTAATGAAAAGGGCTCAGTACCGATGGAGCAATCAGCAGGGGATGCCTACCCCTAAATGATACCTGATCCCATCTGTAATCTTTTCAAAGATCCTAGCTAGATTATTGTTTCATATAAACACATTTAATACATCATTGAGTTCTTTTTTTACTGATATATTTCAAACCAATTGCTATGATAAAAAATTGGCGAGGACGATAAACAATAAAACGCAGATCTGAAGACTTGGTCCAAAGGAATCGCGACTTGAAGAATGTTTTTGTTTTATGAATTTCCGAGGAGACATTTCAATTAATTTGTTATAAAAAGAAGAATGTCAGCTACAGGAAAAAAGTCCTCGTGGCTTCAATAAAATTGATTTTTACGATCTTTCAATTTTTATGGGTACCAGTTCCGCTCCGTTATTACATGTAGCAGACCTATTTTTCTATTCATATGAAGCAGAATGTGTGCAAAATTTTATGCATAAAAGAAAGAAAACACTTGCTGTTGCCTTCAGCTCGATATTTAGATATATCGACGACGTATTAATTGTCAATTATCAATGGTAATTATCATTCCTATGTTAATACGATATATCCTGATGAGCTTGAGATAATATATATACCACAAAGTCTGACACATCTTTTTTTATACTTGGATATTTTACTTGAGAAAGGTAATATAACAACCAAGTTCTATTAAAAACGTGATGACTTTAACTTTTCTATCATCAACTTCCCTTATTATGCAGTCATATATCTTCATGCACACGAAGTTTATTTAATTATCTCAATTAATTCCATACGCAAGAGCATGCTATACGTATTAACAATTTCTAAACGAGGTAAATTATTGACAAACAAGCTAATGAAACAAAAGTATCAAAAGTCTCGTTTGAAGTCATCTTTTAGATCTTTGGTCGATACAATGATCTTGTCAGCAAATACAATTTTTCAATGAGTCAAATGCTGACTGACGTTTTTCATACTAATTGTTAGTCCATTATTTATACCTTGAATTGAAGACGGATATTTCCGTAATTTCATGATCATGACAAGGAGAACATGGTGGATGTGACCGGTCGGCAGGGGATGCTCACTCCTTCATGGCACCTGATCCCACCTAAAATGTTTTGAAGGTCCTCCATCTTGGTCATGTTTTAGTTCATATAACTATAGTCCTGCTGGACACATTATTACAGGTGACGTAAATATAGTTAATAATGAGCCCCGTAGATCACTATTTTAAAAGGTCCTAAATATAGGGAACCCTGGTCCTTCAACTGGCGTTGGAATATAAATATTATGGATTCTGTTAAAGATTACACCAGATGATGGGCCATATATGAAAAAGAAAATGTTGACAGATCCATGACGTCACTTTTGAATTTTTTTTAAAAATATCCCAAGAAATCAAAATAAATCTGAGCTATCATATACTCATATTTATATTGGATTCCGAAACGTTATAAGAATCGCTACAAACAAAGATACATTGGAAGTTCCAGCAAATTTTCTACCAAGCCTCTTTCTTTACTTCTCAGTAAGATATTGGCAGTAGTAAAGAAAAAAACTGCAAGAGTATTGTGCAACTATATATTCAAGAAGTGGTGTGATTCAGATTTTGATATTAAAAAATTCCAAAGAATTCTGGACAATGTACAACCACAAGATTTTACCAAAATCAACAGCTTATTAAAAACTTACGATTTTTCAAATAAATGAATTAAATTCAGTCTTTAGATATCATTGAAATGTGACTTTTTAATAAAAATGGAACTCAATGAAAAATGTAAATTTACTCCCTGATCGTTATCTTCATATCCTTCGTTTTACTCTTAATTAATGTACATAAAATACATATTAACATTTTTCTGAAACTTGAATCTTTAAATCATATTTATTTAATCACAAACAAGCATTTCCAACAATGAGATAATTTTCCAAGAATTAGTGTTTTATTATCGATTAAAAAATCTTACTAGTTGCATAAAGTAATTAGTTCATTTAATGTTTCGAACAGAGATTAATTATAATAATTTCACATTATTTTTTTTTTCAACGAAGATTCCTGTAGTCAGTAGGTTCATAAATCAAATACACTGATAAATGTTTTCATTCCTTTTTGTTTCTCCAGCTATTGGCGGGGATTTTTCTCTTTGCTTGGTTCAGCCTTCGTTCGTTTGGTTTTGGTTTGTGGGTACTGGAACACCTCTTAGTGAGGACGTACAATAAGGCGGTTAATCCCAGGGTCGATATCATGGCCCCCGATCCAAGCCCTGCAGCCAGTAATAACTTCTCCTTTGATGCCCGGGGGTTTAATGTGATGACCTTTGTCACTTTTCCAGACGGATGTTGACAAAAACACTCAACTCGCCCATGTTTCTGATGTAAAAATGCATGTTCTTGTTAATTCAAAGTACGTTTTTATTCTTTTATCCTGCAACTATCCCTTGCATTGACTTAATAAAGGTAACCTAATAAACCAAAGCTTTACCCTGTCACTGCCCTAATAAATATTCCGACGTTCTAAAAGATTGTGACGTCATGTATATTGCAATGCTTACGCAATGGCGTCATAGTTTTAACTGCAGAGATGTGCCTAAATCTGTCGAAAATAGCTAGTTTTGGACGTTCAAATGTAAAAAATATGTAGCAGGATAAACAAAATACATGATAACTGTCTTGAAATATAAGCGATATCTGGGCTCGGGTCGAAAATGTAGGAGGGCTGGGCAAGCCTCGCCCTCTATCACGTTTTCTTACCCTCGCCCAAATATCGCTTATATTTCAAGATAGTAACCATGTATTTTATATATCTTTTCATTATTTTGTGTAAAACTTGAAGTTATTGATCTATTAATTGAATGTAATTTACGTCCTGATCGGGAATTTCTCGCCCATACAGAGACATAACCATAAACAGGTGAAAGACTACTAATTCAAACTCGAGCAGTGAATGTTATCTATTTTGCCAACGCCTGTCGTGACACGTGGCCTTGGGTTTACAGTTATCACCCGAAAAGACCCTCACCTTTAACTTAAAAGTTTTTAGCAATTGGCAAAGCTACAGCTGTTTTTATATCGACTCGGCTGTGGCAAAGATTCGAAATCAGGACCAGGGAGCAAGTGATATATACCGATTTAGCTACCGCGAAGGTGAAGTTTTCATACGCTAGAAAATCTGTTAAGAGTATGTAAAAAGTGAAGATAACGAGGAGGTATCGATTTAAGGAGGCTGGGGGGTCAACAAATTAACCACAAATTAACCAACAGATTTAACATGTTTAACTTATTTTTTTTGGAAACAGTATCTTAAGCTGTCATTTAGCAGAGAAAAAAATCATACATTTTAGTTTTAAAATTTGATTATTTTTGTTTATCTTTTTATGGAGCTCTTCTTTAAAGGAGATCGAAATAGTCAAAAAATGGCTGCCACACCCCAGCCTCTTTAAACAATCTATAACGCTACAATTATGTGAAGAATAACACACTGAAGCCTGGAATATCCCAGAGATGGGAACAGTTGTCTTGGAGGAGTAAGCAGTTGACAGGTCTTAACTTTGAATAGAACAGTGTACCTAACTTTCTCGCCCAGATTACTTAAAGCTAAAAAGCTGTTAAAGTTGTTGATTGCAGTAAAAATATAGAAGGTTCCTAAGCTTTGTGTTGTATTCTTATTCATAACAATCTGAGAGATTGAATTGAGAGCGTTGTCTGAGAAAAAAGTGATCATTCTATAATGAAGAGACTTGCGAATAGAATATTCTTCTGCTAATAACATTAATAAAAAATTCTTGAAGATATGAAGAAGATTTGTGCACTGAAATACAACAATAACTTTTTGAAGAAAATTTTTTTTTGGATATCTTTTGGTCGACTATTCGACTATCACACAGTATAAGCATTTGATGTTACTTTTTACATAAATTTACGAAAAGGGTTTTTGTTTTAAAAAAGCTATTGAGATTTTTTTTAAAAAATGATCCAAATAGTCGACTATCATTCGAATAATGCAATCGAATGTTTGACTGAGGAAAAAAAAAATTTAATATCCCTACTTGAAATTGATCATGAGAAGTTAAGGTTGGCACATAAAAGGAAGTTAAATTTATAAATTTGTGGTTGATGGTTTGTGGTTTAAAGTCTTTCTGTTAAAAATTGAATAGAAAAGTACAGAGAATCGAAATGAAGAGTTTTGTGATATTTACTAAATTAAAAATGACATACCGCTTTTTCTTTGGCTGAAAAAAGAGGAGGAAAAATTGGTACCAACATTTACAAGAATAGATCTATAATGCTTAGATTGATTGAAATTCAGATAAAAATGCATTATTTTCAAACAGAATTCTAAATACCTTACCTTTCATCACTTTGCAATGACTATTTGTAATAGGTCCTTGAGCCTTTGTTCTTCCCGCTGTTGCTAATGAATTGGATATTTCAACAGTTGTTGTACCTGCGTTAGACGGATTTGCTGACGGATTTGATGGTGTACCTGCATTAGACGGATTTGATGGTGTACCTGCTTTAGACGGATTTGTTGTTGTACTTGCACTAGACAATTTTGATGTTGTACCTGCAATAGATAGATTTGATGATGTACCTGCATTAGACGGATTTGTTGTTGTACCTGCATTAGATGGATTTGATGTTGTACCTGCATTAGACGGATTTGTTGTTGTACCTGCATTAGACGGATTTGATGTTGTACCTGCATTAGACGGACTTGATGTTGTACCTGCATTAGACGGATTTGTTGTTGTACCTGCACCAGACAATTTTGATGTTGTACCTGCATTAGATGGATTTGATGGTGTACCTGCATTAGACGGATTTGTTGTTGTACCTGCATTAGACGGACTTGATGATGTGCCTGGATTAGATGGATTTGATGGTGTGCCTGCATTAGACGGATTTGTTGGTGAACCTGCGTTAGACGGATTTGATGATGTACCTGCATTAGACGGATTTGTTGTTGTACCTGCATTAGACTGATTTGATGTTGTACCTGCATTAAACGGATTTGATGATGTACTTGGATTGGACGGATTTGATGATGTACCTGCATTAGATGGATTTGATGGTGTACCTGCATTAGATGGATTTGATGGTGTGCCTGCATTAGATGGATTTGATGGTGTGCCTGCATTAAACGGATTTGTTGTTGTACGTGCATTAGACGGATTTGTTGTTGTACCTGCATTAGATGGATTTGTTGTTGTACCTGCATTAGATGGATTTGATGGTGTACCTGCATTAGACGGATTTGTTGTTGTACCTGCATTAGATGGATTTGATGGTGTACCTGCATTAGATGGATTTGTTGTTGTACCTGCATTAGATGGATTTAGTATCGAATTTGATGGACGTGTACCTGCATTAGATGGATTTGATGGTGTACCTGCATAAGACAGATTTGTTGTTGTTCCTGCACTAAAAGGATTTGCTGACGGACTTGATGTTGTACCTGTATTTGATGGATTTGTTGTTGTGCCTGCATTAGACGGATTTGTTGTTGTGCCTGCATTAGACGAATTTGTTGTTGTTCCGGCACTAAAAGGATTTGCTGACGGACTTGATGTTGTACCTGTATTTGACGGATTTGTTGTTGAACCTGTATAAGACAGATTTGTTGTTGAACCTGTATAAGACAGATTTGTTGTTACATCTGTATTTGAAATTGTTGCAGAAGAATCAGAAGACTTTCCAGTTAGTGAAGATGTTATAGTCTCAGTCCTTTGTTTTGTAGTTATGGGTGTTGTTGAGGCAGTTGTAGTTAATTTTGTTGTCGTTGTTTCTGGAGTTGTCTTTATTGTAGTTGTCGGAGGTTCTGTCGTCGTCGTCGTCGTTGTTGTTGTAGTTGTTGTTGTTGTGGTGGTGGTGGTGGTGGTAGGAGGTGGTGGTGGCAGAACTGTCAATATTTAAACTTTATAAAATAATTTTCAAAAATTCAACGATGAAAAAGTAAAATAGCAATTTAACGTTATATGACTTGGAATAATTCATAGTGTCTTTAATATACGATAAGGTTCAGAAGAGGAAAAACAAAGCAAACACTGGTTACAAATATAATCAAGTACGGAAGTTAATCTTACCATGTGGTTCAAAGTGTACTTGAAAACACCGTATCTCACCAGGTACACTAAAATAAGAATACCTTTTATTTTAATGTTTTGGTTTTTTTTTGCAAAATTTTTATAATTTTTACTTACCATATCAAAATTAATTTTCAATCTTTTAGAATATAGTGAGTGCAAATGGTAAAATATGTTACAATTTTTAAGAAACGTTTGAGAAATCTTGTTGTAAAATTCTTCAATTACTGTTTGTTATCTTTGCTCTTTTCATTTAGTGTTATTTTAATTAGGTAGTCAAGATTTTATTCAATGAGTTACCCAGAAACCATTGTTTGAAAGCAATATTCTTTCTTTTTTCCATTGTCTTTGTCTGAGGATCCGATCCATACGTCATTATGACACTCTGTAGTGGACGGAGAGGTAAATATATGGACCGATGTATCGTCATCAGATCTGTCCCTAATTTCTGGACTGTGAAGGACAAATAAAATCCAAAACTGTATATAAGCCTTCTCTCTCAAAGTTGATAAATTTGAACTCAAATGTCATATGAATTTTAAAAATGTTGGAATTTGACAAATGATAACTTTTAATCATATAAAAGATAACATTTGGTCACCATTTTATATCGTTTCCTTTGCTCAGTGAGAGAGTAACATGGCATGGTTTTCCTGGAGTGCAAGTAAATTCCGAACCATTTGTTGGGGAAGGATTGATAAAGTGAGGCTGAAAACAAGCCACAATAAGTAGTAAAATATAAAATTACCAACTGACCAACTTATACATTACAAAAATGAAATTATTTATAAAGATATTTAAAAAATACAATGAAGATATCTATCGAGTTCTCTAATTAACTCAGTCTGCTTTAAAGTCATAAATATACATGAAATAACACTCCGAGAAAAATACTCTTTAAATTAATTTTAAAAAAAACTTATGATAAAATAAGTATCTTTATTTCATTAACTTTTTTTATATTAAATGATTAGGCTGTTGGACGGACAGACTGGGTGGAAACGTATTTTAGAAAAAAAAAAATACGAAAAAAATCTGTGAGTGTAAAAATGATATTTTAGGGGTCTTTATAGAAAAATACTGAATGAATAATTCATATTTTATAAATAAGTCATTTATGCAAATTTCCTGTTTTCAAACCTGGTCATTTTCGAGTTGATTAGAATCAGGTCCTGCAATAGAGAAGATTTTATTTTTTTTTTATTGATTTCAGAAACACCTTGCAAATTTGACTATGTGCTTTAACAACACAGGCAGAACCATAAATCAAATGTTGGATTAAAAAATTCTTTGTAATATATTTTCAAATTATTTATAAAGGGATATCATGCAGACATGTCAATTTTTCATTTGGTAAAAGAAGTCAAATTACCTGATTCTGTCAATATGTTGCAGCAAACACTATCATAAACATCCCTGAAAATTATATTTGAAGAATTATTTCTTTATAAAATCAGAAAAATGATGAAATTGCTGATGTTTTCAATGTTGATTTATGATAGTATAAAGGAAGACGGATAAGTTTTGGAATAACAAGTGATTTTATACATCATAAAAGTGAGCTGTAAACATACCCATTTTCTGACGTCAGAGATAAACAGAAGGGATCTATTCCTAGCGCTTTGTGGACGACCACAGCCTCCCCTGTAAAGTCACGTGACTTTATTGTACCAGAATACTCCAATTTCTTTGTTTCAAGACTTGTTCCATTCCAGGTCACATTAAATCTAAAAATAAACATGTCCTTGTTAAAACCGTAAGTAAAATTAAGCTGCAATCAGAAAAATTTTAATGAACAATACAATCTGTATGGTAGTTAAACATCAAGTAAAGTGCATGATTTCAAATAATGTCAATTTGTTAAAATGATTAGGTTATTACGTGGCGCTATACATATAGGCGCTGCTATAAACTTACTTGTTAGCATTGGACACAGTGAAAGGTATGGAACAGTCTTTTGACAGCGGACATTTTATTAATTTTGGCAATGCAACATCTCCAAATAATGGCTGAAATTGGAAATTGTAAAGTTTATTGCTTTATTTCACGAGTGAGTCTGGTATTCTATGTATTCTATTTAGCCACATTGCAGTATAAGATATTTTTTGCAAGTCCATAAAAGTGAATTTTACTTTGAATTGTTTTAAATTTTTGCTATCAAAAAAAAAAGATTTTGACAGTCGATCATTTTCTTTTTACTAAAAATCATTATTGTCATATACATGTAAAAGATCATATATATTATATAGTTGAATGGTGTTTGATTGAGTATTTTATATTATTCATAAATAAAAATGTTAAACAGTCTTCTTGATTTCAGTTTTTCCCTTTTAAACTATAAGTTTGACATTTACCATCCCTCTGTTATTATATTTAGAAAAAATTTAACTAAAGCACGTTAATTGCATAGGCTAAGTTTTTGAAGATTTCACTTTTATTAATTAGAAAAATTTATCAATTCTTTTTCCAGATGCCGTCCTTTCAATTGAATATGAAGATAACATTTATCAAGCTCTAATTAAGGCTCTTTCAACAGTAAACATCCTAAAAAGGCAATCTCAAAGCTCATTGAATTTCAGAGGTTCTATCTGTTGTCTCGGGGGAGTTAAAGTACAAGGAAAATAATTGACAAACTGATAACGTAAATAAATCAAGTTATTAGCTTACTGCTCCATAGGTGTAATTATTTTGTCCTTGAACTCTTCCAAAATCTGCAAATAGATAATATAAAACAGAACAGGATTTTCTTAAACAGAAAAAGAGCTTTACCTCTAAGACTAAGCAAAAATTTAAGCTTAAAAGTTAAATTTGGCATTTGTAAACAAAACCTTTTAAACAACTTTCTCCTGAAAACCCTGAGCGACATTTGCATGTTGCAGGACTGTGTTGTCCATCACAGAATCCGTCATTATGACAGGAAACACCAACGCAAGCCCCCTTCACTGTAACAAGGAATAGAAGAGATTCCAGTGGTGCATTTACTTTCTTACTATCAACAATTTTGTGTTTTAATTTATTTACTTTTTTGCTGTATGTATTTAAATATATTGAGGATATTTTTATATAAATAAAAGTATGCAAAAATCACTCGTCATAAAAAATAAAATAGTTTTGTAAATGCAAGAAGAAAAAAGCAGTTTTAATATTAACTTTGTAAACTTTACATAAGTATTGCAGTAAAGTAGGCATGGGCAAAAGGAACAAATATTTCCGAGTTAAAATACTGAGAACTTACCCTGTGATTATGAGAAATATTTCTTGTTTAATAAAAAATGCTTAGACTTGGGTCATATTTAATTTTAGAGCAAAGTCATGGAAATTCAAAAATTACTTTTTTAGTGATTTGAAATGTCATTTTTTGGCATGATGCCCAAAATGTTATCTTTACTTTTGAATGTTGACCATAAAATTACCTGTTATATTTGGTAGGATCTGAATTGTATAGCAACGAATATCAACATTTTCCCTGAAATGATGAATTTCTTAAAGTAAAATAAAGATACAAATGTTTGACAATGCATATATAAAGATCGTGATGTTAAAATGTGACTTATCAAAAAATGGGAAGGACCATTTCTTTTTGATATCTGCAGACTTACTCATTATTGTCATAGAGTGTAAAACACAGATCGAGATCGGTGATGTTGTTGACCGTGATGACGACATCAAACACACAGGGTGAGAGGGTGCCACTAGCTTGAGGGAAAATGTATATTCCATTCTCTATCTTCTTGTCTGTCTTCAGAAGTGGGCTATCAAACGATATTGAATAATTGTTTTTCAATGATACTTGATATCAGCCAGCAAATAATTAAAATATGAATTTATACAAATTCTAGACTTGATACAAGCATTAGAGATGCTTGCTGTCAAAATATAACGAAATAAATCAAAGGCTTTAGAAGAATATTTAAAAATGCTTATTTCATAAATAATATTAAAGAACAGACATCAAGTTATCCAATGGCTATCTGATGTCATCGATAGGAATAAAGTTATAAAGTTATAAGAGACTGTCAGAATATAAATAAATAAATAAAGGCAAATGTGTACCAGTTCTCCTCCAAAAGCTTGTTCTTTGCCCACAGACTGAGATGACACTGTTCGTGGATCTTACATTGGAGTATAGTTTTATCCGGAAAAGTAGGGGACACAAAATGAGGACTGAACTGATAAAAAGGAAAACAATTAATAGTTGATATTTTGGCTTTAGAAAATGTTTGAGTCATTCTTTGAAGCATTTCCAGTTTAGCTTGGACTTTCAGTAAGGCGTGGCATTCTCGAGGTTACGTAATTAGCTTCTGAAATTCACACAGCTTTCCTTCATTATTGAAATAAACATATGGAATAGGCATTCGGGCATATGCAAATGAATAACGAAAAACATTGTCTGGTACGACAAAGAGGTGGAGCTTCAGTCGTCTCCTCGTTGTCATCAACAATTTAAAGTTCCCGATGTTATTAATTTCTTAGCCGGTGATCATCTTTTCGCCATTTGACAGACACTAACTACGTAGCACCGAGAATGCCACGCCTTACTGAAAGTCCAAACTTACCTGGAAATTGTTCTACTACATTTTTGAACAGCAAATCTATATTTCGTTTTGTAATAATCGAATACAGTTCATGATATGAATGGTTTTTTCTTATATTTTTAACTCAAGATTTGACTAAATTTCATAAGTATCGTAAAAATAATTTATCAAGAAAACAGCGCTGTTAATTTTTACCTCATTCGTTCTCAAATGATTTCCTGAAAACAAACAAAACTCAATTAAAACAGCTGCAAATGCAATATGTTGAAGTAAATCAAAGACTAGTTTAAGCTTTCACAAACGTACCAGTAATAACATTTACATTAAAGCATATTTCATCTTCTGTTCTACCATTTCTGCAATTCAGCGTAAAAAATGTAAAGGTTTTTCTGCAGTACGATTAAGGTTATTGGATTCAGTATATAAAAATACAAATCTGATCTGGTAAAAAGTTTGTTTATATCAAACATTACTTTGGTGTCCCAAAAGAATCAAGGCACAATCTTTTCAGTCCTAATTGCTCTCCAACGACAACCATTTTACCCCTGACAATTCCAGCTGCCGACGCGATATTTTCCAAACTTAATTCCGAAAGCCTTAGTGTTCTGTCAATTGATCCTTGTTCTAAGTTTGGCCTATGAATATAATTTTGAACTTTGAAAGAGACAGTGATAGTTTCTTGACTGTTTTGAGTGAAAATGAGAATGAAACGTACTCATCCATAGGTTTGAACATATCTTACATGTGATTCTTATTGCTCGTAACACTAACAGGTATCAAACATGGTGTGTCTAAATAACAAGTTACAGTCTCTGGTAGTGCGGTCTCCGTAAAATGACCCTATAAAAAGTTTCTTAAATTAATCTTTGTACAACAAAACAAAAAAAAAAAACAACTTTGTTTACACAAAATCGTACTGACCCCATTGTTTTGATGACTCGTGAAGTTTTTGTTGGCTTCTATAAAAGAGGAATGTGTTACGTTTTGTGGCAGATTTTGCAAAAACTCATAACATAATGCAGTATCTTGCAACATGTGAATGTTAAACTGATTTTGTTTTACCAGTGGAGCAAGATGTTCCTGAATACCCTAAAGGACAGAGACATTTGACTTCGTTCTGATTCTTATAACACACACCATTGTTTTGACAAAAGGAATGATTGTCACAAAATCCTGAAAAACATAAAACAATGCGTTTAATGTACTTCACTTCCTTTATACTGTTCTCTAGAATTCAGATTCATGAATAATGAAAAATGTTTCGGCAAGATCTTTGCGTAATTTAAGATCATCGTTTACAAAACTGTTTTTCCATTGCAAAGTATTTAATGTTTTACCAGTTAAGGCCAAGATCTAGAAAATGAAAGATGCTCACAGATTTATTAAATTTGAGAAATAAATTCCTTTAATGATACTTTATAACTTAAGCTTGGCCGAATTAGGTGTTTCGGGTCATAATTTTTAGGTAAACAAGATGAAAAACCATATTTAATGAACAAGAGGCCCATGGGCCTTATAGGTCACCTGAGCATTATGCAACAACTTTCCAGTTATTGAATTTAATTCATGTTTTAAGCCACATGCTATGGCATTCACTATTTTGAAAGAGGCACCGTTGATCCTCATAAAAATACACTTAGCAGTTGCTTAGCTTGGTTACTTAATACCCATAGGCAGGGTACGGGAACAAAAATGTATTTCAACTAATCAGTAATATTCAGCAATATTTAGTAGTGCCCTTACCACACATGAACCCCTGACCTTTAGGCCTAGATCCACACACTGCACAATTTTTGAAAAGGCATCCTTGCTTTTCAGAAATATATATATATTTTTTTTTATTTTTTTTTATTTATTCATTATTTTTTTTTATTAATATCAATTGTCACATCATCGTATTTACAATATCTTGTTTACATCAATACATCATTAATACATATGATAAACAAATACAAAAAAATATAATAGTGACAAATGAATAGGGGAAAGAGAAAGAAAGGAAGAGAGAAAGAAAGAGGGGGTTGAGAAATGGTGAGAGAAGAGCATGTTCATAAGAATAAATTAGTGGCATATGTATGTCCAAGTATTGCAAAAGGTCTTTAGGTGTCTGGTTTCAGGGTCTTACATGAGTGAAAGCCAGTCTTTCCATTTAGTGTTAAATTCATTAATTTGATTATTCTTTGTTGCACTATATTTCATCGTAGATAGTAATGTTTTAATATCTCCACGTAATGCTTGTAATCTCAAAACCTCATTTCGACACTTATTTCTATATATAAATGATTTAATACACAAAAACATTGTATTTAATTCACTATTGTTGGGTTTTGGATTTCCAAATATGAAATTACAACTATCTTTTGGAAACTCTATATTATGGGCTTCACAGAGAATTGTAAAACTATGTAAAAGCTCCTGCACCTTCTGGCATTCCCACATAATATGAAAAATTGTTTCCTCACATGTCTCAAAAAAGCTACATAGTTTAGTATCCTTCAAACCTATTTTATATAACGTTTTATTTGTAACCAAGATATGCTGATTTATTCTGAATTGTAGCCACTGTAATTTAGAACTTTTTGTACATTGAAAAGGAGTATTATATATCATTTCCCATAGGGAATCTCGAATTTCAAAATGTTTACTCCATTTTACTTTTGAAAAAGGTACTATGTGTTCTGTATTCAAAATTTTATACATAGCTTTTGTTCCTTTTCTACATAGACAGAATAATTTTAAATAAAAAGGTAGAATGGGCCCTTGGTTTAATCTTTCTTTGTTTACTTTTTCAACAGCCATCGCTTCTTTAACTGCTTTCTGTAAACTTGCATATGTCAAAAAGTTGGTTTCTATATTAAATTTTGCTTTTAGATCCTCTAATTCTAAAAAAGATCCTGTTTCGTCTTACAAATCTGAGATAAAAATTACATCTTTCATAAACCATTTGGAGTAAAAAATTGGCTTATTGTCAATTTTAAGTTTTTTATTGTACCATAATGGTTGAGAGATAAAATCTTCCCAGGACTCTATTTTCATTTTGTCTTCTATATTTTTGAAAGCAATTAGAGTATCTTTCCAAAAATCATTAGTTATACTTTGTAATATTATTTCAATATAATTTGAACCAGTATTAAATAGCTTTTTGATATTAAAAACTTTTTGAACAAGTGATCTCCATTTAGAATCCTGGCCATTGAGTAGTTTTTTAATCCAAGATGATTTTAAACTCTTAATGTAGTTATTTAAGTCAATCATATTCAATCCTCCACTCTTGTAATCTTGAGTAAGTTGTTTTCTTTTTATCTTGTCCACTTTTGATCTCCAAAGAAAATTAAATAGAACACTATTTAGATTTTTAACAAAATTTTCAGAAGGTGAAGGTAAAGCAATAAAAAGATGGTTTAACTGTGCTATTAATAGTGATTTTATCAGTGAAATCCTACCCAAAGGGGTAGTACGTCTTTTACTCCACTGTAGTATTATATTCATAATTTTGACCAATTTTTTGTCATAGTTGAGTTTTGGAACTCTAGTTAAGTCAACATCAAAATAAATACCTAGTACTTTAAATTGTGTTGTCCATTGAAAGTTCATTTCATTAAGTAGTTTTTCATTTGAATATTTTTTGCTTCCTTTTCAGACTATTTGTGTTTTAGAGAGATTAATTTTAAGACTTGATAGTTTATAAAATTTATCTATTTCTTCAATGCAATTTCTTAGAGATTTTTCTGTTCCATCTAGTATAACTAGTGTGTCATCTGCATATTGAGACATTAGGTATTCCTCCCCATCAATTTTAATCCCTTTAATATTTTTATTATTTTTTATTTTTAAAGCTAATATTTCCGCACATAGTAGAAATATATATGGAGAAATTGGATCACCCTGGCGGCAACCACGGCCTAGTTTAAAGAATTTAGATAGGTGGCCTGCTTGATTGATTGCTGATACAATATTACATTTGTACATTGAAATAATGAAACCCATCTTCTTAGAGAAGGACCAAAATTAAAGAATTTTAGAGCTTTATCAATAAAATTCCATGACACTGTGTCAAATGCTTTTTCAAAATCAATCATTAACAACATTCTAGGGATATTTCTTTCTTCTGTATAGTGCATTAGATCATAAATTAACCTAGTATTTTCTCCTATGTATCTTCCGGGTACAAAACCTGTCTGGTCTGAACTTATAATTGTATTCAAAATATTTTTCATTCGACTTGCTATACAGCCAGAAGCTATTTTATATACAACGTTTAATAAAGATATTGGGCGCCAATTTTTTTTTATAAAAAATTTACTTTAAATTTAATTTACCTGAGTTTACTCAGGTGACCTAAAAATTAAGAATACAAATCATGAATAAAGGAGGTTTTTTTTCATTTTTGAAAAAAAATGTATCCAAATTGCCTACAGTCTTTTAGAAAACGGTTATTTGTATGTTTATTGCCTCTTCTTTAAAATAATGTCAAATTTGATATAGGTATCCGGATTACTTTTCATATGATTTCAAATTGAATGCCTTGAAAATACCCCTTTTTCTACATAATTCTGCTAAAGCCGTAAAGCATGGGAAAAGGAAAGTTGAAATTGATTATGACGTCATAATGGATCTAGCACCACAAAATCAGTCTAAAATCATTTACTAGATCTTGACCTTAAAGTTTAGTGTTAAAAATACAGAAAGTTTGTTATGTTTTCAAAGGTACCTTTTTCGCAATACTTTCCCCAAAAGTTATCCGTGCAATGGCAATATGGATCGCCATTAGGTAGAGTTTGACATGCTCCGTCATTTAAACACTGATGTGACGAGCACTCTACAAAAGAAATTAAACCAAGTGAACATACTTACCTGAGATGAATAAATATAGCATTATATCTTGGATTGCAATCTGTCGTAAGAATTATCCTGAAACAGATAATGACTTTTAACGGGAATTATGAAGCTATTTGATGTCTCATTTTAGTCAGGAGATTTGAACATATTTTGAACATAATTTAACAAAAGATTTCTTTTGTTAAAATAAATGACACCCCCACTTTTAAACGACCCGATATCGCTATGCACATAGCATGACAATATATATTTTTGTTTTCTGAGGAAAGAGCTGATTTCATACCACCAAACAATGGTATATGTACAGTGCTCAAAATATTTGAAACTTTTATTAAAAACAGAACAAATAAACTAAACAAAAAAAAAAAACAAAACAAAAAAGAACAAAAAAAACAAAAAAAAAAAAAAAACAACGAAAACAAAAAACAAAACAAAATATACCTTGGCATGTTCGTTTAATACAAATGTATATGTATCATTCGATGTTTAAATTAATACGATATAAGCAACTTAATACTGTACTAAAAATTCTAACACAGTTTGAATTGTGTTGCACAAAATACATGGCAAAAATGGTTAAGAATTGCTTTTCAATAAAAAAGGATTTATTTAAAAAGCGAGTAACGCTCATTTTAAAACAACTACAATTATCAAACCTAGTCTTTGGGGGTAACTTTACTCAACCAAAACTTGAACTTCGATTGATAAATATTGCAAATGTTCTGTCTACAGGTATGAAATTCTGACTCAACTAGTTATGTGGATAAGTAAATATTTTCATAAGATAAAAAGCTGAAGATATAATGCGCATTGCTTAAGAATATTTGGAGAAATGATATATAGTTTAGGTTTTTGATAACATTGTGAACAAACAGACAGGCTGACAGGTACGTCGACGGGTTGACGGAATGTTTGGTTTACAGATCGACGGGTGGACAGGTCGAAGAGAAAGAGTCTACGTGTTGACAGGTCGATAGGTCGACATATTGTTTGCGTGGTTTGTATTGAGAAAACAGGTCAACAGGTCAAACCTAACATTTGACGAAATTCCACCAGAATTGAGAAAAATCGCGAAACTTGCCATTTCTGCAACCTCTTGTGACCTCTATAAATGCTTTGAATGAAGGATATGAAGATAACGAACTTTATTCCGTATCAAAGTTCATAAAACACAATATAAAATAATAGCAGAGTAAACACGGACCTCCAAAACATCAGAGGTGGGATCTGGTGCCGTGGAGGGGTGAACATCCTCTGTCGAGCAGACTCAATTTAATTTTTTAACTACAAGCTATCACAGTTTTAACAATGTTTTGATTTTTACATCAAATACGTACCAGATTCAGCGATTACCATACCTTAGGTATTCAATATTCTAGAAACAAAATATATTTCAATCACTTACGATCTTGAATGTCGTTCACATTAACCATGAAACAACGGGACTCTCCCTGTGGACTGAAAATTAAAAAAGTAACAATATTGCCTTGTCTGTAATTATCTCCTAAATCAAGTCTAAAAAATGGCAGATTAAATCTTCGTTGTTTAACAGGTTCTGATTTGCAATGTAGAAAACCTAAAAAAATATTTTCTTGACATTATGTGAAATTATGCTTATATAGTTTAAAGCAGAACAGGACTCGTACATAGAAATAAGTCATATAAGTTTTCCTACGTCCTATATCAGCACTTGGGTATATAACCCCTTTGCATTAGCTACATCTGACTGCTTTTACCTGGTTACTGCTTGTGCGGTGTGCTGTATGTGCATATTTTTTTTCTTTTCTTTTCTATTTTTTTTTTCGTCTTTATGAGTGCTGTTTTTTTTTCTCTTTTGAATGGATAAGTTATTTTAATTTCCATCGCATGATGTACATTGTAAAAATATTTTTTTTTCTGATGAGACAGAGGCAAAGGTTATTTATATCGCGCCAAAGTCGATAAAGACAATAAAAGAGATGTCTGTTAAGTTACATTTCGTGAAGCAAAATACATCCAATACTGAACAATGCATATGCTGAGGCATATATAGCGGCTGTTGAATAACAGTACTGAAAAAAACTAATATGACGGACAAAAATAGTCCTCTTTCCTTTTACTAATCATGTTCAGGTTTTATCTTTTATATTAAGTTTCAAAGTCCTGAACGGAAACCACTGATTAAAGGCGTTGCATTTTAAGAAAACATAATTATAAACAAGTATCAAGAACTACATGTCAAAGGATCTTAAATTTGGAGTATATTGATTTTTCAAAAAAAAAAAGAAAATATACCCAACTCTAAATAATTTTTAGTGATAAAAAAGTACGTACCAAAGCTTTAAGCAAATCTGCTTTACACCTGTAGCTGCAGTATTTGTATAGACAACATCATAAGAACATAACCCAGATTGTTGATTTTTTATTGGTTTAAAAACCCCAACATACTCATCGTTGATTGTTACTTCAGCACTGAAAAGAATCATTAGATATTTTTCAAGTATATTCATTTTCAAATTCTCCCAAAATAAGATTCATTGTTAACTTGAATAAAAAAAATTATTTAATCCAAATAGTGTTCTTAGATCTAACTTATATTATACAGGTAAAATTGCAAAGTATGTTGAACATATGTTGAACATACGTTTAAGATATGTTCCAAAACATATGTTCGCCATAAAAAACGAGCAACGAGCTTATTAAGCAAACAATAAGAAATTAAAAGAACAAAATTGTAAGCATTAATCCTGCATTTATTTTTCAAATTTTTACACAATTCTGGCTTCGTTTCCCCGACAGTGACTGCATTGCTTCTGAAATGATGAAGAACATAATCAAATAATCAAGAAGTTCCAATGTCATGATAATTCCATGTATTATTGATAAAAATATGTTACCACAAAAAGTAATTACCTTGAGCACAGCCACTTAAGAAATTTCATCAACCCCTTTGATAATGGTCAAACGATTTGAAAACTTCTCATGTTAAGGCAGAGTGGGGCCTACAATGTAAAGATTCTGCTGATTGAGCTCTTGGATATACAAAAAAAGCACTGCAAATAATTAAGGTATATGTAATGTGATTTGAAACTATATAACAGATGAAATTGTGAAAAGTTAACGATGACAAGAATAACGACAGACAAGGGACAGACTTCAATCCAAAAAGCTCATTCTAGTCTTAGGCTCAGGTGAGCTTTTAAGCAATAGCAATAACTTTTTCAAAATTTTGACAATTGAATTTCGAATGTTTAAACAGTAAATACAGATTGCAAAACATGCTATAGGCATAATTCACAATGATTGAGATACAAATGTATAACCCTTGACCAAAAAATAAATACTACAAACAAACAGACAAGCAAAAAAAAACCCAGACATTTTGAATACATTATAATCCTAAAACTTTCATGGGGAAAAAAATTAAGTTGATTACAGACTATTTACTTACCTATTTTGAAGCAAGTTTGGGGTCATGGTGTTTGTTCTTCAATGTATTCACTATGAAAAAGGCAGGCTGTATATTACACCTGTAAAAATATCAAATAATAATTCACACAGTTTATTATGTGCATATATAACTACAACAGAGACTCTAGTTTCTCTAGTGTTGATAAAAAAAAATAAAATGTTAATTGATGTATAAATAATCAATGAATTAACTGATACTTGTTGGAGTTTTTTAATTCAGTTTTTTCAGTATTTTTTTTAAATTTCATAAAATTGAATACACACAATTTTTTTCTTTATTGTTCTTTTGACACTTGTAAATCATGAACACATAAAGTAGTACCTTGTATGTCTGCTTTAGATGAAAATTTATCCCCATTTACATGTAGATATTGTGTTGTTTTAGGGCCAGAAAATTCTCTCCATATCTTACAGGTTTTTAAAAATGTGCTGGAACATTGTTCTGTAAAAAAAAAAAGAGTTGGATATATTTTAAAAAGACATTAAATCATGAATTTAGATACAAGTTAAAAAAAAAATTTTCTCAGGAAATATTCATTCCTTGAATAGTCATTACTGGTAAACACTATGATTATTATTGTATGTACCTGATTTGTCATCACGCAATCGCCAATAAAATTGGCATTGGGTCAATAACTTCAATCGTCACTCAATGAAATCGGCAATGGGTTCTTTGAATAAAAACGACACTGGGACGCTGAACTTAAAGGTACTTGGACACAGATTTTAAGTTAATATTTTCTGTTTTTTTTCTCTATAATATTACGAAGTATATATTTTAATAGCATTTCACACAAACATTACTTAAAAATCTTATTTCATTTTAAAGTTATTAAAACTTTAATTTTTTTGGCGGGTTTGATTGACACATCCTTACACTTTCACAAATTTTAATTTTACTTTTAATACTTAGGAAAAGTGGCAATCTTGTTGTGTATGAATGCAAAATATTGATACTATAATTCAGAAAATTCAGAGTAGACATGTTCGAAAGCAAAACAAACACGCAGTATATTGTCAGTCCGTGCTGTTGTGGTAAGCAGACTGTGACGATTCATAACGCACCCGGTGAAATCTAAACATAAATAAAAACATAGCTCGTGCCTTGTTTACAAAAACTGTGGACATAATAAGAGTGTGATCGATTTGCACACACGACTAAGCTCGGAATGACGATACTTCTGAAGGTGTTTTGTTTTTTAACATTTCTATTCTGAATAAAATTATTTTTCTGTATTAAAGTTTTAATATTTCTCATTAATACACAACAAGGTTGCCACTTTTCTGAATGATTAAGAATAAAGTTAAATATGTGAAAGTGCCAGGATGAGTCAATCAAACCCGCCAAAAAATTTGAAGTTTTAATAACTTTTAAATGAAATAAGATTTTTAATTTTTTTTTTTTTGTAAAATGCTACTAGAATATATAATTCGTGATTTTATGGAGAAAATATTAACTTCAAATCTGTGTCCAAGTACCTTTAAGTTGCTTAGTACATAGGCCTAATAAAAACAAAAAGTTTTCATTAAATTGTTGAAAGAACCGTATGGATAACGATCTGAACATAACATTTTACTTCAACTGCTACACAAAGTTTCTACAGTTCTACTTTCACTTTCAAATCGAGATCGTGTATAATATGTAAGCATAACTATTGACAAAAGGAAAACAAATTTACATGAAAAATTGGTAATGCTGGATCCGTATGGTTTTTCATTTATCATAAACAAATCCAATTTTTTTATTTGATCACCAGGTTCGGCTTTTATAAACTGCATTAGATCCATAGGCGCTTGGGTCAAGGATACTGTTATTTTCTATATAATGTATTGTCGAGGAAATTCGAACTATACTCGTAACATTTTTTTTAGTGTGCAGTGTTAATTTTTAGTTTTTTTGTAAACCTTTCTGCTTCATATACACTTTAATGTCGCGGAAATTCGATTTTATGCACGCTTTAAAAATGACATATCCCACTGTATACTAAAAAGAAACAAGGCTTGCAACTTCAATTGCCCCTTTCCGTGCCCCAGACTCGATTTTTTCCTTTTAAAAGTTATATGCGCCGCTTACCAGCTGAATTACGAACCCCCATCTCTCCAGAAAACTCTTATGTAATGATAAAAATCCTCAGGTATAAACTTTTCATCCATCTTATATTTTTAATCAATTATTTCTCTCCATTTTCGCTCGATTTTTCGTCTAATCACGGAAGTCACCGGAATTCCAACATCCGAAACCCAAAACGGACGGACAGAAAATTAATTTACAGTTCTGAAAATCGCAAGGATCAGAGTTTATGCCGATTAAAACTGTCTAAAACTTCTTATATTATCACTGACAATATATTATATTTTTAACCTGTATCCTTAATCAAAGGAAATTAAAGTTTAATTGATAGACGGAAGGGGGGTCTTATTGTTCAACAGTGTTTATTAATCGAAATCAATGCGTACAACTTGAACGAACAATAAATAAATAAATAAATAAATAAATAATAAAAGAAAAGAAAGAAAGCAAGAAAATCTGTCTAAATTTAAACTGTATTTCAGGAGAAGGATGTGGGAAGTTCAATGGGCGTAGACTCTCTCTCTCTCTCTCTCTCTCTCTCTCTCAAATAGATGCAATAACCATTTGGCACTAAATGTGAAAAAAGTATGTAGAGTAGGGGGTGATGGGGATTAACTGTCGTTTTGATGAAAGTAATATACCGAGTTAGGGGAACAATGTAAGTGCCAACTTGAATCACACCCCCCCTCTCCTTCCCTGAGCATAAAGTATTTTTGATAAATGATCAATGAATTTTGGTGTTACTGATATTTGTTTTAAACTGCTAATTCAATAGTAGATTTTTTGTTTATTTTTTTTTTTGGTAAAAATATTTGATTTTATGCAGTTTAAAACAAATTGTTTAAAAAGATTCAACTGGTGTATATTTATTCTGGCTGCAGGCATATACACAGCTTTTACTTGCGTCTTTCAGATCAAGTCACCTGTAGTAATAATAAAGGAAAACATGCAGTTTTTGTACAAATAAACCTGCTGCAATGTTTAATTTATTCTTAAATCTCCATAATGTTTAATCTGAAACACAAGTGTATTTAGATTTGGACCCCCCCCCCCCCCTTTCCGTCTACATGTACTAGTGTTTCATCCAAAGTCAGTTAAAGTGCCCCAAAACTAGTTTTCGATGTCACAAACAGTTTTTGAAGACAAAAACCCGCATCCTCAGTTGTTTAGGGGTTAAAATGTGATGTTAAGTTATGATCGATTTAAAAATATAGATATTACGATGTATTGATCCCGTTTACTATTCAAAAGTAAAGGATTTCTAAGCCTAATTTGATCAAAACAGGCTGTCACAAACAAGGGTGGTGTTATTCAGGTTTGAAAAAAATAATTTAGGATTACCAATAAAAATGCTAAATATTGTATATCATAACAAAAAAGGGTTAAACTACTCATTTTTACTTATAATTTCTCTGCGATAGCCAAAAAAAAATTTTGCACTGCGTAATTTGAATGTCCCATTTAATGCAGTGAATTACGTTACGATTTTCTCACTGCTTTAACGAAATTGTAAGTGGCATTAACGGTTACGTTACATGGATAAAATTGATTATTAACTTATCAAAATTAAAAAAAAATAATGATTTACAGGCATATGATAACATCTGTGTCAAAAATTTCACGAATTTTGAAAATTTTCCATTTTTGCATTTAATTGTGAATTACGTTACGCGATCTTACACACAATTCCTAAATGCTACGAACATCAAATCTCCTGACTGATACACACACTTATGCCCATTATAAATCACACATAGACAGTGCCTTAAACTGTTGTCATTAGTTAAATATTTGAATTAAAGTCGAAGTTCGTGAACTGCGTTACAGTGAATTACGTTATGATCAATTTTCTTTTTGTTATAAAAGAATCCTAACTAGGAGCAAAATTACCATGAATCTTTATTCAATGTCATCACTTATCATATAGGAACTTAAAGAAAGGAAGTTTACAGGCGGGAACGGGTTTAACTAATGCAGCGGTTTAAAAACTATCTTAAAACTGAAAATTTTATTTTTAAATAAATAAAACTATTTCATCGTTCATAGTGTTATAGGAATTTCGTTTTGAAAATGAAGGATATATGTTCTACTAAGATATCATAAATCTAAAACATTGATTCGCTCGGTGTTTACATCAGGCAAGGTCTGTATACGTAATCCACAACAGTGTAACGTAATTCACACATTACATTATTACAGTTTTAATCTTAGATAATGACTAAAATGATTAATGCTGAGCCCCAAAAGAAATGTCGGTGGTAGGTAAAGACCAAAGAAGGAGATAACTACCTGGAAAAAGAGGTCTAACGTGTAAAATTAAGTTTTATGTACCAACTTCAGAATTAACCCAAAAATCGCCTCATCTCAGTACAGGAATAAACAGATCTTTTTAATAGTAAAAGGGTCTAGAAAAAGTCCAAAATTTGTTTAAAGAACTAAATAGAACACACTTAAATAAGAAAATTCTCCTTACTTTAAACATTTATTTCCATATTGACACTTACAATCTGGTATGTGAATTACGTTACATTGTTTGTTTTATAATGCAGATTGATTTTGAAATATAATTTGATGCTTAATCCCACCAAACTTAAGTGCAACGCCAGAAATCGTGTGGATATAATGTTTAAATCATTTGTAATAGGTACATGTACCGTAGTAATTCTGCACTTTCTGAATATACAGCTTTTGATTTCATCTGAAAAATACCAAGGTGTGTGAAATATGATGTTTTACAATGATAACAATCTAGATATATATAATTATGATGTCTATTGCAAAGATATTGCAATATTTATAATCATTTTCTGTATTCTAATTTGTAAAAATGGTGATGTTCAACCAATAATAATCATTAGTTTTCATTTTAAGGATGAATGTGAATTACGTTACAAAGAAGACAGTTTGCTCCTGTCTCAAAATAAACGTTTACTTTGAATTCCAAAATGTAAAAACTTGAGAGTCTTTATATAAAAGGTATACATCTGCAAACACATACAAACTTCTTTGTTAATATGAGTAGGCGAGTTTAAACTAAGAAAAAATAAGATGTCATTTTCTCAAAATCCATATTATTAATTTTTCGTACATTAACTATGTGTAAATATGGAATATTTTTGAATATATGGTAAATTTTCAATTACACTGCGGTTTTTAATTGGATAGTTATATATAACTCTATCAAATACAACTACTTGAAACACCATTTTGAATCTACAATAATAATGTATTTAATTTTTTTGATAACACCTTAAGAAATAACGTAATTCACTGCTAAAATTACATTGTATTTGTTCCATATGTGTGCAGAATATAATACCCACTTTCAAGAGCTATCATAAGTGTTTTCTGATCATTCGAATATTGTTCTATCAAAATCAAAACATTTCCTTTGTTTTCTGAGTTGAAAATCTTCAGCCGTTTTTTGAAACTGTTTGGGACACTTTAACTGACTTTGGATGCTATTATACCTTTGATTAGATACAGGTTAAAAATACAATATATTGCCAGTGATAATATAAGAAGTTTTAGACAGTTTTAATCGGCATAAACTCTGATCCTTGCGATTTTCAGAACTGTAAATTAATTTTCTGTCCGTCCGTTTTGGGTTTCGGATGTTGGAATTCCGGT